TACCACACACACACACTGTTCGTGGGTTAGCACACACCCGATTCTGAAATTATGTAGTTCTTTGTGAGAAACAATGATGTCAGGACAGCTTTAACACCAGAGAACACTAGAGAAATCATACCTACTGAGAACCACCAAGCATGATAGAAACAATTTGGCTTCACATATTTCTTAGTATTTGTGTTTTCAGTTTGCTTATTTTGCTCTTGGCTGCAAAACACAATTGTATCTATGGCTAGCTTTTTTTCTGTAATGCTTACTTTAAACCCCTTCATTGTAAGCGTTTGCCTGCAATCTACTAAAATTCTCTCCCTGTGTCATGAAAACTCCCTTCATACTAGTTAAGGGGAGAAAATTCTCTTGGCTAGTGGTTTTGTTTGTTTGTTTTTATCAGTCCTAGAATCTATTCAGAGTTTGGGTGTGAATATTCCAGCATTTTCTAGCTGTGGGCCTGCAGGTACAGGGTGGAGGGATTGGGGGCTGGGGGGGGGGTGGAGAATTGGCCCACTATTTGGGAATCTGAAATTCATCAATTAAATGCACATACTTGCTTCTTGGATCATTACCTTTGTTGAAATACTGGCTGGAACAAGTCAGGAGTCCCGTTCCCAGCATCCTCAGCCTGGTTGTGATAATCAGGAGATAACTTGATAACCGGCTCATCAGAATGGCCAGCGTCCACCATCGCCTGGGCAGACTGCCTATCAGCCGGGACAGCTTAGCCCTGCCACCCTCAACTCTCGGTCCAGGCTGTACATGTGCCGTCCCTGACCCACTCACAGCGTGTCTGCCACCAATATGTCTTCCTTGATATGACAGGACTCAGGGAGACATATGAAAAGTCATGCTGGTGCGAATGGTTGTAATCACTTGTTAACAAACAAGGTTCTTATTGCCAAAATCACCATCTGTTCCATCGGGTCCCACACATTACCCTGTATGTGGGCTCTGCTAAACAGATTTCCAAACTTCCCAAGGTCACCCTGGATTCCTATAACCAGCTTCGACAGAGGAGTTCCATAGGAACCTCACACCACCGAAAAGATCCAATTCCAAGAGGAACCAAATGCTGTCAGCCAACCATACCTTCAGAGTCAATAGCTTCCTACAGACAAATCAGAAATGTCCCTCCTGAACCAAAAGTGGCTGGGCTTCTATCATAGAGTTCTGTGCCAAATTACATTTCTTGAATTCCCATCTAATGGTTAGCTCCGTTTCATTGGAGGAGCCTTGAGGGTAGGGGTGGGGAAAATGAACCAATGTGAAGAGCAGAGGCCTTTTGTGATGAAAGATCTCAACTTGGTTGTATACTAACCTTTTTCCCAGATGAAAATTGAGTGAAATTCTCTCCCTCCTCACTCCTCAGCACATGCAAAACTCTTCTCACTCATCTTCATAGAACTGGAGCTTAAGGAAGACGTCCATGTTGCTTCTAAGGAGCAAGTATCAGGGGTGGACACAGCACGAGAGGGACTGGGTGACCCTGGCATTGATGGTCAGGAGCCATGTTACAGAGGAAGGGGTGGCTGAGGTGAATCACTACTGGAGGGTGGGCAAGATGGACAAGGGAGGGATTGAGCAAAGGGGACATCCATCCAGACACCAGTGTGCAACAGCAAGCCACCAATAGACACTAATTGTATCATCAGATGTCTCCATAATACCTATCCTGAGAATGTTCTCTCAATGTGGGCGTTGGGGAGTTCCATGACAGATCAAAGAGTCTTGTATTAAACCTGCTTCTGTGTAAGATCCTTTTAAAATCATTACCTTTCTCTGATAGTGGGCATTTGTGCCTACACATAGCATATTACTAGCCTGGTAGAAAATCCAAATTCAAATATTCAAGTAGGGCTTTTAATTAAATGTGTATTGCCAAGCTAGGGGGGAAGAGGGAATCTGAACTCAAATTGCAGGTCAGGGATCACCTATATTTATGTCAATCCACAAGAGAACATGTTGACTTGGACTTTGGAGGATGCTAGAGACAGGAGAGAGATTTGAGAAACAAAGGAGGAGGAGGAAAGTAATCGGGACTTGGAATAGCTTGAATGCATGTGACATGTCAGACATCACCTTTGTTTATACACATCACATGAAAGAAACAGATGTTTGCAGACATCCCTGTGTGTGTGTGTGTGTGTGTGTGTGTGTGTGTGTGTGTGTGTGTGTGTTTTACTTTGGGCTTTTTTTTTTCAGTTTAAACTTTTCCTCAATTAAACTCCCAACTGTATGGGGGCTAGTGATAGCAAATATCAGAAAATATTTTTTAATTTTTATGATGACAATATGGTCCCATAATTCTGGATTTTGTAACAAAGCAGTTTTTTGTCTTCTGTTCCATTCATTTGGATAAGGTCATACTAGTTAGGCAACCAGAATTTTTTAGAAAAATATGACAGCTCTCAGCATGTGTTCTTAACGTCAGTAAAAAATAAAACAATGTCTTGGGTTTGAAAGAAAATGAATGCAGTTTTTTTTAAATACAAATCCTGCACTCCATTTCTATAAATGAAATTCATTTCTTTTCAGATAAGAATAGATTTCCCACCAGAATTAATTTCATTATTCCTCTTAGACTTAAGCAGAGAGCTGCACATAGCAAATGAGATGCGTTCGTAGAATGCAGGCTTTTTCACCCAGCTGTGCGTGCATGCTTTGTCTTTCTGCACCGGTTTTTATGTTCAGCGTAGTAAAAGCCATCTTCCACTGTGGGACTAGAATCCTTAGCTTTTTAAACAGCTAGAATTTTATGTACTTCCCTTTGAGTCTCTCCATAAAAAGCAGAGGGGAAAGATATATGGACTGGTGCAAAATATGCCTTCATGAAAGAAAACGAAGTCAGAGCAGAAAGACTAAGGGCTCAGACACACCTCATGAAGGTTCCTGTGTCTCTACCCAGTTTCTTAGTTACTTCATTTTCAATAGAGCCCTTAAGAATTTGTTGGTATGTATTTAAGTACTTCTGGCTTTTATCATACATGCAATTGAAATCTCTCCATTGTATGTTCTTTACTAACCCTCCAAGATGTTAAAAAAAACACTACTTCTCAAAGGAATCATGCATATTAGCCAATACATGATGATACTATATATATAAAGAGAGAGCACTTGATTTGATGGACTGATTGGATTAGGTGCCTGAAAAGTAACTCAAGGGAATTTTTTTTTCAAAAGACATTAAGTATATAGCAATTAGAATATATACAGAGCTTAAAATTCCAGGGACTATGGATATGATTTAGCAGTAAAGCATGAACCTAGCAGGTTCAACCCAAGCTGAAAAGAAAAATCTTTCAGGCTTTTTATCCTGTTTATAAAAATTCAGTGTTTCAATTGTTTAAAAAAACTATGTAAGCAAAAATATGAGACATTTCTAATAAACAGAACAGAACCTCTATTTTTTCTTTCTTATAAAGCCAAATAAGCACATTAATCAGGAAAGAGAATTAGTCATAAAATTATCTCTTGAATGTTTGTCCCTAAGAAAGGACATTAAATGCTAGCTCTTGGCTTTTATAATGGGATTCAGGGCCTTCTAACATCTGCCCAAAAAAAAAAACAAAAAGGATATACAGGAGAAGGATTAATGGAATACCAAGTACTGGAGAAAGAGTTAAGAATGGAACTTGGACATTGCCTTTGCCTTGGTAGTCAGTAAGATGCATTCAATGCTTGAGTGATTTACTTAACCCAGGGGCCGGCCCCAACCCTGGCTTAACACTGTCCAGCTCCTCATCCACAGCTGCCACCACTTATGTCATCCCTGTCCAGTCCCTCTTACTCTGTTTCCTTCTGGGCTGGTTTGCCCACGATCCCAAACTCTCTTCACCCAGGCTACCCAGATGGACAATTGTCCTGACTTCCAGTCCTCCTTCACAGTCATAAACTTAAGTGACAGTGCTGAAGTGCTTCAGGAGACAGGGGCGAGGCAATCAAATAGCCTTACTTGGCCCCTTCCATTTGGGTGGTTATTGATGATACTAAATGAAAAGAAAATGTGTCAAAAACGAACTTAAAGAGACATTTGTGTGATTGCAATCTGTTATTTCATTGTCCTGATTACAACTGCTAACACAATGCAAGTGGACTTTTGGTACATAATTTGGCATCTTCCTAGAGGAAACCAGGTAGATCTTGTTTAAGCTTTTCTTGCTGTTTGAACATCTATTTAAAGTAACACTAGATATTGAAGAACCTAATTAAGTTATCCTCACACATTCAAATACATTTTTAAAACTATTTTGTAAGCTTTATGAATGAGTAAAAAATAAGGACCATCAGAAACATGCCTTGTTTTGAAAATGAGATTTAGGTATTCTAACCATGAAAACCATGTTAAGATAATGGATAACAGTATTCTTTATAATGAGAAAGTGAAAAGTTGATTGAATAGGTGCATTACCAAAATTATCAATCTTGTCTCTGATGTTTAGTTTGTAAAAGCAAAATTTACATACTCAATACTTTCCCTGTCCTGAACACACGGATTTCTCCTGGCTCCCTTATTCCTTTTTAAGGTTTGGTTTTTCCCTAACAATAATAGTATAATAGATTTTCTTTGATTAAAATTTCCCTACTTTTATATGCCTCAATGAATTTTAAAAGTTAAATTTTAAAAGTTAAAGCCTCTTGAGTGCAGCAGTCAAATATTTCTCTAGAACCTGAAACTATTAGAAAAAAAAAGATTAACTGAATTCATTAATTTCAGCACCTGAAATCCACCCCACCCCTCCCCCAGAACTAGCACCCAGTTCCGGCTTCATCCTGTAGACAAATTAATGCATCACTCAAGGTGCGTTTGTGCTCCTTCGTAGTCTGAACTCAGTTGCAGGGAGCAAAGGCCAGTGAAGGCCCCTCTCCGCAAAGCAAGAAAAAGTGAGATGCCATGGGAAGGGTGGATGGACCACCAAGGGCTGGGGCGGGGCGGGGGGGGGGAAGGTTCTGTCTTCAGTTGATCTTTTGCACGGAGACAAATCAATGACGTTCATTTTCCTCAGTGCTACTGCAGAAGCCGACGCTATCGATCCGTTAATAAACATCCTGACGTGCAAACGAGACGGCGCCATCGCCAACGCAGCCACGGTCTTAACAAACCTGGCAATGCAAGAGCCCCTGCGCGGGGTGATCCAGGGCCACGCGATCATGCAGGCCGTGGTGGGCCCGCTGAGCTCCACCAACACGCAGGTGCAGAGCAAAGCCGCGTTCACCGTGGCTGCCATCGCCTGCGACGCAGAGGCGCGGATCATGGTGAGAGCTGGCAAGAAATTAGGTGATGGAAGCAGAGTTTGCTTCGTGGCAGATTAGGGCAGCCTGAGGGCCCTGTCTCTGTGCAGAAAGCATATTGTAATACTCTGGGGCTCTGGACTGGAGACTACCACCTCTTCTTCCCCGCCCCTCTGTCTCTTATGACTTTTATCTGTTATACTTCCTTTCCTTGTTACACAGACACAGTTCACTGACACACATCCATTCAAATAGCTAAGACACCAACTGCTGTGTTCCAGGCACTGTGCTAGACATTGGAAACACAGGACTTTTTTTTTTAAGTGTCATTCGGTGGGTGCCAGTGGCTCACACCTATAATTCTAGCTATTGATGAGCCTTGAGTTCTGAAATTCAAAGCAGATGATGAAATCCTAACCAACTGCTTCTGAAGGCTCTTCTCTGAAGTCATCTTCACTTCAAAGGACACTCTGGGCTCCTGCCTGCAATCGATGTTTTCCCTCTGAACTCCGATCTAAATATAAATCTAAACAGTCAATCTAACACATTTTTGCATAGTTGAAACCTTATATCAAGTAGTGAGACTTTTTTAAAACATTCATTTTGATACCCCCACCCTGGAGCTACAGATGTAACCCAGGGTCTCACACATGCCAGGCCAGCACCCTAACATTAAGCTACAGCCTCAGTCCCTGGGCTTTTAGCAATACTAATATATATATATATATATATATATATATATATATATTCGGATATATATATACATATATATGTATATATATAGCCTCAAACTCTCTCTCTCTCTCTCTCTCTCTTTCTCTCTCTCTCTCTCTCATATAGCCTCACACTCAAAATCCTCCTGCCTTGATTTTTCAAGTACTGGGATTATCCATGTGCACCACTATACTTAGCTATACTGAATGCTATTAATACATGACATTTTGGCTTCTTGCTTTTAGTTAAGAAACTCTGGTGGCTTGGAGCCCTTGGTACAGCTCCTGTACTCTAAGAAAGATGACGTCCGGAAGCATGCCAGCTGGGCTGTGATGGTCTGTGCCAGCGATGAGCCAATATCTCTTGAGCTATGCAGGCTTGGGTGAGTGCATGATGTCCAGCTTCTGGCTCAGACAGAGAGAAGACCATGGAGAGACACAGTGTTCAGGCCCAAGGAGGCCCAAACAGAGTCTATGCTCCCACTAGCTACCAAGCACCCTGAGGGTTCCCAGCACAGGACCTTTGTTAGCTCTAAGCCACCAGGAGATCGTGTGTCCTTCTTCTCTTGACCCCTTGAGGGCGCCATCCCTGACCTTTATGCAACCACCAATAATTGCCTTTTCTGCTTCTTCCCTTGATAAAATGTTTTCCTTTTGTTTTCCTCTGCTTTCACCAAGCACAATCTGCCTCATCTCTCAGACGCAAGGCTAAAATAAGTGAGCCAAGACGATTGCCTCTTTTTCTCCCCCACACAGACCTTTTCATTAGACTTCAGTATTTAACCTCCATCTAATCCCTCTTTGCTTACAACAGATGAGTTTAGTTGCCTTTATTGCTTACAACAGATGAGTTTAGTTGCCTTTAACATAGCAGAAAATAGGGTATTAAGGTTCCCTAGGTAGGCTCACTCTATTAATTTCCAAGCATTTTTTTATGCTTTGGGGATAGTACCCTGTTAGCTAAAATACTAGGTCCAATACTACTTCTGCTTTAAATGGACAAGGACTTTTTCTTCCCTAGAAGTGTCAGTATTAGTCAGCTTTCCACTGCTGCGACAAATAACTAAGATAAATTCACTCATAAACAGCGGGTATTTGCCCTCACAGGTTTAGGTTTTCAGACCACAGTTGGCTAGGAGTGAGAGTAAGCTGACCATACAATGGCTAATAAGCAGAGAAATTGGGGGCTGAGGTCCCAATGTCCCATCAAGAGCATGCTCCCCAATGATGCAACTTCCTCCCACTTTGCCAGACCTTTTGGTAGCTCCCTTACCTCCCAATAGTGCTACAAACTGTGGACCAGCCTATAACACGTGGCCCTTTGATGAACACTCATCCAAACCATAGCAGTATTCTCCAACGCTGTTTGAATATGAATTACTGCCTGGCATATTATTCTCAAGAAGGATAGATTTGTCTTCATAATTCTGTCAGGATTGCTTTTCTCTAAAAGGTTGGAGGTGGGTGGGTGGGAGAGCTTTCTGTCTCAATTCTTCATTCAAGAGCCTAAGTATATAAATGTGAATTTGATGTTGGATTGCTTATAGAAAGGAAATAATGCTTTTTGCTTTTATTGACAGGGCTTTAGATATCCTTGAAGAAATTAATCTATCAATAAGTCGAAAAAATAAATTCAGTGAGGCAGCTTATAACAAACTGCTTAACAACAACCTTCCTCTGAAATACAGCCGGACGGGCCATTTGTCATCAAATAACATAATTGGTGATGGGTTCTATGACTATGGTCAGGTAAGTGGCACCATTTGTGTGCAGCTCAGTTGTGTTTGATGGTTTTTTCCCTTTAATCATGATGCTATTACATTACCATTTATAAGCACCAAGTGTAATTTATATATATATTTTACAGACAGACATGTGAAAAAATGCCATCTCTATAACTCTGGTTGTCGACTTCTACATTTTTGTAGTTTTAACTAGAATTATGTTTGCTTGTACTTAAAGTCTACTTGCAAACGCCAATTGCAAGTTTTAGGTAATATGAAAGAGGTTATACTGTATGTGACTCAGTTGTAGGTTTCTACCCGGCATGTTCAAGGTGCTGGGTTTTATTTCCAGCATCACACACAACACACAAAAGGAGCTGTTTAAGTTTGGAATTCTATTCCTTCTAGAGCTTAAAATAAGTTATAATACTGGATTTTAAGATGTGGAAAAATATACTAGATTTTAAGGTTTAAAAGAATATTAGTTCATTGATCGAGTATATGGCAAGGCAATATGTGATTCAGTGTTGTTGAAACAGGAAGTGAAAAATGAGAAATCAGAAATAAACACTTTAAATCCTTAGGTATTTTTGATGTAGCTCCTTCAGTTGGAATTCTTTATTAGAAAACAAAAGCAATTTTTTTTTAAGTGGGGGAGTTTAAACTCCAAAAATCTAATTCTAGGCAAACCTGGGAAACTAGCAGTCTTTAAAAATCTGAGATAGAAGTAGGATTGCAGTTTGAGGCCACTTCCAACCCCCACCCCCAAAAATGGAGTATTCCGATCTCCAAAAGAAACAACTCGTAGCTGGCTGCCAGTGGCACACAACTATCATCCTAGCTACTCAAGAGATAGAGATACAAGGATCTTGACACAAAACTAGCCAGAGCAGAAAAGTCTGAGACACTTCATCTCCAATTAGCAGAAAGCTGCAGGTATGGCTCAAGTGGTAGAGAATCTGGTGAGCAAGAAAGCTGACCAAGTGGGAAGCCCCAGTTCTGGAGTACCAGCCCCTATCTGAAAAATGGAAAGCAAGAGGGTTGGGGTGGGGGGTCAAAGTGGTACCACACCTCCTAAGGCCCTGAGTTCAAATCCTAGTAACATAAAAAATTGTTTTTTAGGAATGCCAAGAGCTCCCTAAGTCAGGAGAAAGTTGCACAGGGGAAAAGAGGAAAGTAAAATCCCAAAGAAGAACAAAAGAGTCACTCTGTGAGAGCACCATCAGATCTTCTTCTAGATCTGCTGGAATTCCCTTTTCCTTGTCCTCAATGTTAGCAAGACATGTGTCTTGGCTTAGAAAGGGATCTCTAGTCATTTGATGGGAAAGACATCTCAGAAGTTCATCCAGGCAGCCATCTTCTCCTTGGCTATCTTTGTCTAGCCTATCTTTAGGTACCGACAACTCTTAGTCAGTGGTTTCATTACTTGGTTACTTTGTGACAGTCAAGCGAGGTATACAAGATGGGTTTGTAAATTAACACATGGTCTGAAACAGCTGAGGCAGTAAATAGGAGCTGGAGGTTGTATCCTGCTGAAGGGGGAAAATGTCCATAAACTTCAGATTTACACATGTATTATATGGATAGTGTGTGCACAATGAATTCAGACTTGACTGGACACTGGTGGCTCATGCATGCAATCCTAGCTACTCAGGAGGCTGAGATCTGAAGATCTCAGATCACACTTCTAAGCCAGCCTGGGCTGCAAAAATCCATGACACAAAAAGCCAAAAGTTCAAGTGGCAGACAAGAGAATTAAGAATCTTCAAACACTCTATCAAATTATGTTCTATCAGAGTTTATGTTAAACATAAGAAACACGCAGTTGGCAAAATTGGTTAAACTCCTATAGAAAACTAAAGCTAGATCCTTATATATCACCCTGAACCAGAATCACCTCCAAATATATCAAAGACCTTGAAGTCAAAGCAGACACCCTGAAAACATTACAGGAAGGAATAGGAGAAACTCTAGGGCTCCTTGGCACAGGCCACAATTTTCTTAATAGAGACCCAGAAACACAACAAATCAAAGAACGGTTGGGCAAATGGGATTGCATGAAGCTGCAGAGCTTCTTTATGGCAAAGGACATAGCTAGCAAGATCAATAGAAAGCCTACAGATTGGGAGAAGATCTTCACTAGCCATACAAAGGACAAGGGTCTCATATCTAAAATATACTTGGAACTCAAAAAATTAAATCCCCAAACAACAAATCCTCAAAGAAACAACTGCCCAATAAATAAATGGGCTAAAGACTTAAAGAGAAACTTCTCTGAAGAGGAAATAAGAATGACCAATATACACATGAAGAAATGCTCAACTTCTCTAGCCATAAAAGAAGTGCAAATCAATACAACATTGAGATTCCACCTCACCCCAGTTAGAATGGCTAGAATCAAGAACTCTAATAACAACAGATGCTGGAGGGGATGTGGACAGAAGGGAACCTTATTGCATTGTTGGTGGGAGTGTAAACTTGTTCAACCACTTTGGAAAGCAGTATGGAGGTTCCTCAAAAGACTATGACCCAGCAATCCCACTTTTGGGCATTTACCCAAACGATCACAAACAAGGCCATACTAAAGCTACCAACACAACTATGAGGTAGCATTATTCAACATAGCTAAAATATGGAACCAACCCAGATGCCCCTCAGTAGATGAATGTGAGATACACATACACACACACACACACACACACACACACACACACACATACACACACACAATGGAATTCTATGCCTCATCAGAAAGAATGACACTGCTCCATTTGCTAGGAAATGGAAAGACTTGGAAAAAATTATAGTAAGTGAAGTAAGCCAGGCCCAAAGAAACATAGGTCTCATAGTTTTCCTTATTTGCAGTAACTAATATATGTCTAGGACAAGCAGAAAAGGTCAAAAGCTAGGTACATATGACCATATAATATGATGCTAAGTGAAATGACCCCCAAGATAGAGACACAAGTGGTTTTATCTTTCTTGCTATTGTTTTTAATGTACTTATAATGTACCATGTGATTTTTTTATGTTTCTTTTGTATGTTCTTCCCCCATGGTTTAACCCCTGTTTTCACTGTATTGGATTCTGGTGCCTTGAATCTTGTATATACTAATTTTCTAATTTGGGGAGGGGAAGGGAAATAATAAAATGCTGAAATAAGGATACAGGTTGAGCCATTGTAACAATGAGATGTACAAGACAGTATGTTGAAAACAAACGTTACAATTTGGGGTGGGGGGGGAAGGAGGTGGGATTATGGGAAGGGAAAAACAAAGGAGGAGATAACAACACTCTATAGGAAATGTACTCATTACCTTATTCAAGTAACTGTAACCCCTCTGTACAGTATTTTTATAATAAAAATAATTTTAAAAAATAAGACACATGCAGAGAAATTACTTTTCAGTTCTCAAAATCATCTTACAGAGCAATGCTGGCTCAAGACTTCTGCCACTGAAGGAGCTGTGCATGCAGGAGCCAAATGACCTGCGTGCTGTCCTGTTAGTCAACAGCAAATCTGATGCGTGAGTCTTTTGTGAGAATAAGGGGATGAAGGAAAGAACTTTTTTTGTGCGTGTGTGTATGTGTAAATGTGTAAAGATACCTGGTATTCTTCTTTTTTTTTTGTATTCACCACCACCATAAAGATAAACTCTGGTCCATCAACACAGAGCCTAACAAGGAACAGCACCATATAATCTAAATAGCTCTCTTCCCTTTCATTCCATGCCATATTGCCAGTCAATTTCCAGCAGGCTTCAAAAGTCAGGGGTCCTGTCTTCTGACTAGACAGGAGCAAATCAAGAGGGATTATGTTTACAAATCTCCTGGTATGCTAGAATGTAATTACCCACCCAACATTTCTTTGAAATAAGTAAATAGATGAGAAAAAGTAAAGCTTTATAGCGTGTCAGTGGCTCATACCTATAATCCTAGCTACTCAGAGATTTTGATGATCTCAGTTTGAAGCCAGCCCAGGCAGACAAATCTGAGAGACTCTTAATCTCCAATTAACTAGGAAAAATTTGGAACTGGAGGTGTGGCTCAAGTGGTAGAGTGCTGGCCTTGAGTGAAAAAGCCAAGCAAGAGCGTGAAACCCTGAGTTCAAGCCCCAGTACTGGCACAAACACGGAGAAAAATGAAAACTTCAACATTCTTTAAAATGACTGTATATTATGTATACACATACATATGACTGGTATGAAATGCTTTTGTCTTTCTCCTTTCTGGGTTTGAATAAGTATATCACTTGAAATGTCTCATCCAAATATGACTTTCAGAAAGTAATGTTGTGTAAGATCAAGCCAGTTTTGATATATTTTATATGTGCAAAATTTCACATGTGTAAAATTTTAGCTCTCCCCCTCCATCCATGGAAGACAAATCATCAGATGTCGGTTATGGACGAAGTATTTCTTCCTCATCTTCCCTAAGAAGAGCAAGTAAAGAAAAGGCCAGGTAAAAAAAATTTTAAGAAAATTTTTTTATATTCAAATGGCTTTTCCCCCAAAGCTGGGAATGGGACAAAAAAATAGATTTTTAGATTTTGTCACTAATCCTTGCTGTAGCAAGGATTTCTGGAAGAGGAGACAGGAAATCTGGGTGCTGTAACTGTACAGTGATGTCAAGCCAGAGGCCTTAGTGCTCTGGGTAGATTTAGTTTCTATGGCCATAGCTAAGCCTCACTCCCTGTGCTTGCGAAGGCTGAAAAGAATCGAATCCTAATGGCAATTAAAAGGTGTCATAAATGATAAGTGATAAAAAATATAATTATAAAAGGTGTTACCAATGATACTTGCCCATGTAACAAGTTGTGTTTTTCTGTGTGTTTGGAAGTGTTTCTGTTAAATGACAATATATATGCATAGTTCTCGTTTTAGTACTGGATTTGGCTCTCCCTCAGAAGAGAAGTCAGAACCTCCTTCAGGACGAAATACTGTTGTTTCCAAAAGTGGGGGCAAGGAGAAAGGAGTGAGGTAAGACATGTTGACTCCTCCTACTTATAATTATGCCAAGTTCTAACTACAAGCTGGGCTGGTAAAAAAGGAGAGATGGCTTTTGTTTGGTGGTGTTGGAAATGGCCCGAGGGCCTCACACAAGCTGGGCAAAGTGTTCTACCAAGGGACATGGCAAATTTCCCAGTTCAAAACTGCCTATCTCTCAGGCTGCGGGTTGAGATATAGCTCTGTGGAAGAGAGAACAAGTTTTATCTCTGAAATTGCTGTGCTGAATGAGGCATGATACCCAGGAAGTCTTAGAAAATACCTTTATTTTTGTCCCTGTCTTTCAAATGTACCCAGGGTATTTCTTCTGACTCTGGATAGGTTACTCATCTCTCTAGTCCTAGTCAAACTCATTTTTCATGAAGACACGTGGGAGAGTCGATTAACTTAATTCCTGTTGATCCACTGACCTGTTCCTTACCTCCTTAGGCATTACTAAAACCAGCATGTCTACTTCCTCTTAAAGCTTTTCCTCATAAAGACTTTTCTCCAGTTGTGAAGCTGGTAGCTTATACTTGTAATTAGCTACTTAGGATGGTGAGACCCAGAGGATTGAGGTTCCAAGCCAGCCCAGGCAGAAAAATCCAGGAAATTCTATTTTCAAAATAACCAACAAAATAGCAGGATAGAGGCCTGGTTCAAGTGGTAGAGTGTCAGTCAAGCAAGCAAGCTCAGCAAGTGTGAAGCCCTAAGTTTAAACCCTGGAGCGCGTGCACGTGCACACACACACACACACATCCACACAAATACATATACACAAATTTTTTTTGGGGGGGGGTCCTGTCATGGGGCCTGAACTCTGGGCCTCAGCTCTTCAGCTCAAGGCTAGTGCTCTACCTCTTGAGCCACAGCGCCACTTCCGGCTTTTTTTCTTTTTGCTTATGTGGTGCTGAGGAATTGAACCCAGGGCCTCAGGCATGCAAGGCAAGCGCTCTACCACTGAGCCACCTTCCCAGCCCCCACAAAATTTCTTATAAGAAATGCACACTAGGGGTTGGAGGCATGGCTCAGTTGGTAGAGCAAAAGTGTGAGGTGTACCCAATTCTAGTTTCAGACCTAAAAAGAAAAGATGAAAAGAAATACAAACTAGATGTATTCATGTAGTGTATGCTGTCCTTGGCATTCAGACTAGTTTTTATAATATGAAGTCAATTACACATGAATTGATCGCACACACTTAAATATATATCATTTTTGTTTCCTTTTTCATATCTTTCTTCCAGTACCCTCATCTCTGAAGTCTTTTAGATACTTACAACATATGTTTTAATGTTTCTGCCTTTCAGATAATTTTGATCCCCATGATAAAGAACTTCTAAAAACATTTCCATTTTAAAAATAGCTCCCCACAAAGTCTCTTTTTTACCCATACCTCAGTTATTTTCATTTATTTTTCCAAATCTTGAATAACTCCAAATGTCTGTCAGAAACAGGCGTGGGTCATTTCTGAGTCATACCGAAATATCTCCTCACCATCATTCCCTGCATTTGTCTGACCCTATGACCAGAACCAAAATGTGTAAACCATGTCTGACCCCCAAAAGTCAAATGTCAAGACGATCATCTGTATAAGAAAAAAGTGCTTAATATTTGGGCAAGGAGGCAGTCTCTTCTCATTGTGAACTTGTGTTTATTGTGATGTTACTAGATACAAAGTGACAAAAATCTGCTGGAAGACTTGAAATATAGAAGTGAGACCAAGCCGCACAAGCTGGCTGAACTGCATTGCCTGTGTTCAGGACCTAGAAACCCTGCTGCCACCTTGTAACTCCACCCATTTAAAGCCCCATTCTAGCCTGTTCTGGAAACTTCTCCCATCATGCCCAAGAACTAGGGAACTAGGTCTAGGGTAGAAAAGTAGGTGTGTCACAGGGCAGCCTCTCAGCCCATGCTGGAGTCCACCAAATTGCCTGGACTCCCAGCACCTCAGCCTCCTCCAGTTTTAGCAGCTAATTGGCCTAGTGGGTTCAAGTTTTAAACTCCATCCAGTCTTCCATGGGTTGTGACTCCATGTTCTTAAAGTTCTTGCTGTGTTCTTTGGATCAGCCCAGAGTGCACACCAACCAGTTGGAGACTTGGGTGGTCCTCTGTCCCATAGTTCAGTGCTCAGTCTCCATGTGGGCTGCTTGAGAAGCGAGGGCTCAGACTACATATGCACAGATCTGGCTTATGCCTAGGAAATCAAGAACACTTCTGTGGAGTTGCTCTCCTGAGCTCTTTGCTGTCTTGTCTTGTGGGGTTTTGGAGCTTTCCTTTGGGTCCTATAGCCAAAAACCTTCATTGACCTTGATCTGCTATACTCTGCCATGGCTGCAGTCATGTCTACAGCCAAACGACTGGATGGCTGATAGACTGGAACAGCAGGCTTAGCTTCAGGGGATCCTGGTGTCCCCACTGCCTCCTCAGTCACACGATCCCCATTTCACTGCTGTTACAAACCTGGAGAAGAATAAGAAAAGGCAAAATAGAGCAGGGGCTTTGCATTTATGGAGTTACTGGGTCCCTTTGAGCAGTCCAGAACAGGGAACAGTAGAAGAAATTAAAAGGATAAACTATCAGTTCAGTAGAAATTCATAGCTTTCTGATCTTCCTGTAGCTATTTACTTTCCAGGGTTCCCAAATAACTATTAGGTATTTCCTCTCCTGTTTCCTGTGTTATGATCATGCTCAACAGGAGACCTGGGTACTGTGCATTTCTTGAAATAAAGAACTCATATTACTGGGGTTTTTTTTTGTTGTTGTTGTTCAACTCATTAATTGATGAGGGAAAACCAGTGAGATGTTATATTGGTTCCATTTGAGGCCCAAGGTATTTTTATATCCTGTTGAAGCAACATTGAGAAACTATTGCTGAATTATGTAGGAAACTGGGTAATATCCTACCAGACAAGAAATTGCAACCTTTGGGAGTATCTTTTCCACTGGATAAAGGTTATTTCCATATTCGATACACAAATATCCACATGGTGACTAGTAATTCTCAAATCCTGGAATTTTCAATTCATAACAAATAATATCTTTACTTCTGACTAAGTTAATAACTATTTTTGCTAAGTATGCTTCAATCAATCTTGGATGAGCCTTTCCTATTCTATAGAAATATGCCATCCTGGTTTTGTTCAACCCTATATTAATTCCATTGAAGAATAAATTCAGGTCCCAACTGGAAACAAAGTCTACTGCTTAGATTCTGTAAGGAGGCAAATGGTTTCTTTTTTTCTTTTTGTGTTTCCATCTCAGTAGATATTTACTATATGTGGCAGCCACTTTGGTATACAATATGTAGAAGTCTAGTACATGTGCTTTGTAATAGCTGTCAATCTCATTATATTCTCTTCCAAATTAACTTTTCCAGTATAATGATCAGTCAATAAATGGACATTTCAACCCTGTGTGTTGTATGGTTCTTAAGGCAGAAAACATTTCATTCCAGAGCATCGATTAGTATTTGTTGATTTGATTCCCAGATGATGTGATTCTAACTGTTGTAGTTGACTCTCAAAGGAAAGGCAGAGGGAAAAAAGAAGAGGAGAAAGTGAAAGAGGAGGAAGATATTAATGCAGTCCCCAAACTGACTGGAGAAGGCATCCCTGAAAAAGAATGGTACCCTCCCCATGACCCTGACTTCTGTGTGTATGTGTACGAGGTCACCAAGTCGATCCTGCCCATAACCAATATTAAAGAACAGATCGAAGTGCTCGCCAAGTAAGTTCTCTTGGTAGACATATAGCTTAAATGTCTCATGGTGTGATTTCACTGGACTTGCTTTTTCTTGTAGCCAATGTAAATAAACCCACCAAAATAAAACTGAAGTTCAAGGCATGCTAGCTCTGACGTGGAAATGAATTTAAACAATTCTCAATTTCTATGTTAAGTTTCTGTGAAGAATCCAAGGCAGAGCCTAGGGGTGACTTACAGGACACTGTCACTGGCTAGGAAGATGGCTCAGTGCTTGCCTTGCATGCATGAGGCCCTAGTTTTGATTCCTCAGCACCACAAAAGCAGAAAAAAAGCTGGAAATAGTGCTGTGACTCAAGTGGTAGCATGCTAGCCTTCAGCTGAAGAGCTCAAGGATAGCACCCAGGCCCAGAGTTCAGGCCCCAAGACCAACAACCACCCCCCACAAAAAAGCTAAAACAAAAACAAAAAGGACACTGTCATTTTTAGCTAATCCATTAAAAATACCTTTTGGTGTGATCTTGAAGACGTTGTGCAGGAATCAGTGTTTGAAAATGGAATCATTCTTTAGGTATATGATGTGCCCAGAATCTAAAAGAATCCTACTATCAATTATCTGTAGACTAACTAACACATATGTTATCTTGAATACAATTAGCCAACGCCTGCTTTTCTGTTACATGTATGTCTGATAGTTTGTTCTGCTTGTTGTCTTGAAGTGGGGGGGTAAGGATCCTGAGGGTCAGGTGCTTTGGCAGGACAGGACTCTGTCCTGTTGACCCAGTGTCCACAGTGACTGGGAAACTGTGAGGGGTCAGGGATCCCTGGAGGTCGGTCCTGACACTAACCTCCAGCAGAGCTGCTGGCTTGTACAACAGCTGTCGTCTCCATGGGAGCTTGTATCTACTCCAAGGAGAAGTGAGGAGCGGTTGTCAAACCTGGATGTGACAACCATAAGTGTCACTGCCAGATCACTGACTTCTTGACAGGCAAGATGGAAAGAGAACAGATTTTTGGCACCCCACGTTGCCCTGATGTCCTTGATGGCTCGGAAGAACTCTGACTCAGTCCCTCCAAACATTTCCCTCACCGTTTGTTCCTAAGGGAAATGCTTTCCACTGCTCTCAGTTGGTCTTCTTTTAACCTGAGCCCACAAGTTCAAGTGCAGACATGTGGTCTGCAGCCCTTGGTTCTTGGCATTCATTAATGTCCTGTTGGCTCATGGTCCTACATGGTACTTCTGAGCTTTCTTCTTCATCCCTTTCTCTTTGTTTCTTTACCATTACTGTTCCCACTCTAGCAGATAAATGATGATAAACTAAAGGAGATGCCTTCCTTTAGCTCACAATTTTTCCTTTATTCAAAAATGTACTGGCCTTAGATGACTGAATTTTTTGGGAGATGTGTTTTTAGTTGACAGAGGTTTTGGAAGTGTGTTCACTGCTTTCTTCAGAGAATGCTTACTATTACAAGAAAATCACAAAGTATCATAATTGTATCACCCATTTGCTATGAATTCTCCCCTTTGGTCTCTTCCTCTCTTCTTTTCTACCCTGATTAGAGAATTTTGTAGTCTCATATCTTTCTCTAAATTAAAAACTTTTTTTTCAAAGAAAAACTAAAAAATGTCAATGAGTCTAATGGGGAATTTTCTGTCTTTTTTACTTTAATGCCTTGGATCTCAATTAAAACAGTTAAAACTACTACTGCTGGTTCATGTCTGTAAACCTAGCTACTCAAGAGGCCGAGATCTGGAGGATCTTGGTTAGAAGCTAGCCCAGGCAGAAAAGCCCATGAGATTCTATCTCCAAAATAGCCAGCAGAAAAGCCAAGATGAAAGTACCAGCTTAGCAAGTGCAAGTTTTCTGAGTCTAAATCCCAATGCCACAAAAAAAATTCAAACAAAAAAAATTTTAAAAATTAACATTAAGATAAAAATTTAAAACTCCATGAACATTTGGTGTGGTGTGGAATTACATCTTGTTATAAATATTAGGAGATTATATTCATTTCCTTCTTTGCATTGCATAAAATTGCTAGAATTTCAGTTTATGTACAGGTAATGGTTTGAAGATTGCAATCCTAATGTTAATGTGCTTATTGTAAATATATTTTTAAAAGCAAAGCAAATAATTAACTTTTATGCATATAATTGTACATATAATGTTATTGCAACTTTATACTGATTTTTTAATCTCCATACAATTGACACAGGTACGTGGCAGACAAAATGGGTGGTAGGATTCCAAAAGAAAGACTACATGATTTCAGCTGGGAACTTCACATAAGCGAGCTGAAATTTCAACTTAAATCCAATGTTTTACCAATTGGATATATCAAAAAAGGAACCTTCTGCCATCGAGCTTTGCTTTTCAAGGTATTTAAGGTTTTTCTTTTTTCTTTTGTCTGATTGACATTAGGTTAAAATGTTTTGTAGATCCATATCAAAGTGAGCCAGTTGCTAACATTTAACTGGATAATATCAATCCTAATATTTAGACTTCCTTATATTTTGACCTGTATGTGATCATATATGGACATATGTACATAAATACACATATATTTGGGTGTATGTATATATGCATACATATACACATAGATTATATACATACACACACCTACAACATTTATCATATACCTTGTGACCAAATACCTGAGACAATAACTTCATGCAAGAAGGATTATTTTTTTCTTCCTGATTCCAGAGTCTTCAATCCATGGTTCTTTGCTCCATGGTTTTTAAAAGCCTGAGGTGAGGCAGAACATCACAAGGGTACAAATGTGTGGTGGAGGCTGTTGACCTCATGGTGGCCAGGAAGCAGAGAGAGCAAGAGAATGACCGTGGAATGGCCATGCTTCTTGGCTTCCTCCTCCTTGCCCTGTTAGTCTATCAGGTCCCCAACTTGGAAGGTGCCACCTACATTTGGGGTGGAGCTTCCCACCCCTGTAGTTAATTCCCTCCAGAAATGTTCTTAGCGACTCACCAAGAAATATGCTATACTAATCTCCTAGGCATCTCTCAATCCAATCCAATTGACAATCAAGATTAATTGTCACATACTTAATATAGGCCAAAGCTTCTGTTATAGGTCCTGGAACTTTTAGAGTTACTAAAACAAGAGCCCCCAAATTCAGGAGGTTCCTAAGCCAGACATTTTCCAAAATGTCAGGAAAGGGAAAAGGAAATTCCTGGTCACCAGGTATGGTAGCACATGCTTATAAACACTGAAGTCAGGAAGCTGAGATCAGAGGATTTTTTTGTTCAAGGCAGCCTAGATCACATAGCAAGTTTAAGAGTTCAAGGTTAGCCTGGACTCATGACTATATCTGATAAAGAAGAAAAACAAAAACATTCTAAACATAACAAATATCTTTCTGTAAGAGAGTCAGTGGTTTATGGAGGAATGTGGAGTTGGTTACCTGTATCCCAAAAGTGGGGAGGGAGGGAGGTAGATGAGGCCTAAAGCTGACCATCAAACACTATGTGAGTTTGCTCTTTGTCCTGAAGTCTAAGAGAACCACTGAAAATTGCTAATAGACATGACTTAAAAAAATCTATTTAGGCAAGAGAGGGACTCGATTTAAGCAAGGCTAAGACTAGAGGTAAGACCAATTAGAAGTGGTTGCAGAAAAAATAAATGTATGTCACCTGTACTGAAGCTGTGTGCATCAGAATTTTCATAGCTACAGCAAACTATCTGAGAAAAATGTCCCTGCTTTTCTGTGGAGATTGGAAGACTGAGGCAGAGTCTTTCTATATATCTCAGGCTGCCCCTAAACTGATGATCCTCTTACCTCAGACTCCAAAGTGCTGGAATTACAGGCATGGACTGCCCTGCCTGGCTTCTTAGAAACCATTTTAAGGGAGGAGGGACAGAGGTGATAATCCATGGACAGTTTGCAGTAGTGTTTCTAGGCCTCAGTGAGGCAGCACATCACAGCAGAGGGATGATGGAACAAAACTGCTCACCCGCATGGCAGACAAGAAGCAGAAAGGGGGAGGGCATACAGAAGGGGCCTACAGGATATAACCCCCAAGGACCTGCCTCAGAGCCTACGTCTATCAGCTAGGCACCCACCTCCTAAAGTTTCTTTAATTTCCCAAAGTAGCACTACCAGCTGATGACTCAATTCATGAGCCTGTAGAGGACCTCTAATATCCAAATCCTAATACCATGAGGCACAGATATGGAAGAGGGGATGAAGTTAGAGCAAGCAAGCAAGCCAGACAGAAAGACAGAGAGAGAAAGTTAGGAGCCATAAGCAAAGGGAGTTGGTGGCTACCCAGGTGTAGGACAAGAACTTTCATGAGAAGAACAGGAGGATTTTCCAGACTCTGCCCTTATTCCAGACTCAGACATTAGTCGTGTATTTGCATCTATATCCAAGGTCTGGCACACAACAGGAGCTGCAAGACCATTTTGTAACCTACTGATTGAATGTCTGAAATTCCTACCATCTCCCAAATACCTATAAGCTTCATTGCATCCATGTGTATCTTACCTCCAGTTCCAAGGCAATTTTATTTATAATCCAAATGCTTTTCCTAATTTCTTGGAGTTTTTAATTCTTCCTCCTCTTTCAAAATCTAAACATGCTTAAGTCTGCAATAAATAAAGAGAAAATAGAAGTCTTTTGTCATATCTACAATGACTATTGTGACTCCAATTATGATAACCAGTTGTAGTGATAACCATTTGTAGTGTATGCATATGTGTGTGGGGGAGGCTTCAGTACTGGGGCTTGAACTTAAGTCCTTGGGCATGGTCCTTTAGCTTTTTCTTTCAAGGCTGGCACCCTACCACTTTAGCCACAGCTCTATTTCTTGCTTCTTGATGGTTAATTAGAGCTAAGAGTCTCACAGACTTTTTTGCCCAGGATCATCACATCTCAGCTTCCTGAATAGCCAAGATTATAGGCATGAGCCATTTGCAGCTGGTGTTAACTGTCATTTTGAGCCACATGCCAGGCAGCTGATATACATCATTGTGAAGAATCTCAAAATTGAAGTAACTATCATTGCCTTAAAGACAAGAAAGGCAATACTTGGGGAAAAATAGTTTACCTAAGATCAGCCAGAGATGGAGCTAGGCAGCTTAGATAAATGGTCCAAAGTCTTGATGATTTATTAATTTCCCTACCTGCCCACTCACCCATCTCTCAGCCCCCACTGCCTTGCCACTAACCCAGGCCAGCCATTTGCCTGACCTTACACTCTTATACCCACCCAGGCTGCAGAACATAGAAGCAGATGCAAGGTGTCTAGACTTAGGTGAAGATGTGTGTTCTCCAGCTCTGTGTCCTAGACCCTTTTCCCAATTTTCCTCAAAAGCTTTCCCTATTTCTGTTCCTCTCCTCGCAGAAACAATGATCTCACACTAGCTGAGGAGGTTACACACTCAGACGCTGAGGTAACTCTGAGGCTATACTCTGAGACTCAAGACAGATAACCTTGAAAATGCATCTAATCTCAGCTTTGCAACATAAACTAAGAAATCTCTATGGTTTCTATTATTTGAAGTGCTTTTACAGAGAATATATTTTTATTTTGGAAAATGTCTTCTGAATAAATATATGTATACACATGCACACACATATGTACACATTTATATATGTATATGTATATATAAATAAATGATGGATAATAAAGAAGTATTTAGTTATATATTGTAAATGTGGGTCTCCGTGTCCAGACTGGACTGTGAGAGCCAATATTGTTTGCGTTGGAGTTGACTACACGCTTGACTTAGCTAGAATGTAAAATGTTGAAAATGACAGCTATGCTTGATCACCTGGGTCTTCCCCAAACAGTTCCGTGCAAGGATTGCATTAAGTGATCAAGAAATTAATGTCGAGGTTACTAAATTAACTCAGTCATCCTAGCCTGCTGACACTATGAGTACTTGCTCAGTCCCCTTCCTCCTCAGAAGCACCAGGGACAAAGGCATTGCGGTCCTCATTTGTCACAGAGGAAGGAAGGGAAGCCAGACAGGTGGAGTCACTGCTGATGTGTGACTCTCAGAGCTGAGCTGAAATTTAACCCTGGGCAGTCTGACCCAGCTCTGTTATTCACTATGGAATGGCTGAGAGGAATCCAAATTACTCTAAGTATAGGTTAAAAAAATAAAGCAACCTCCAAATTTAAAAAAAAAATGAGTGTAATTAAAAGAGACAAATCCAAGGGACATGAGCAACCTCTGGTGAGATGGCAGCCAGCAGCCCAAGAGGGAGTTGTCAATCACAGCTCAGCTTCTCCTGCCCGACAGCTGGGTCTATGTGACACAGAAGGGAGAAACTGGAAATAAGTCCCTCCCATTTGATCCATTCATCCAATCCCAGTGCACTTGCACAGAACAGTCCTCATCTGGGGAAGATGGATGTACACACTGGAGCTGAGACCAAGTAGAAAGAACAGTCTTCCTCTGGCTACCTTATCCATCTTGGGCTGACAGAGAACAGAGTATATGCCCAATAAGTGTCACTTCCTGGTGGTTCCCCCACAGAGACTGGGGTTACAGATCTTGGTGACCAGGGATTTGTCATGTTTCATCAGTTCCCCACAGTATTCCACATTTTCAGCACCCTGTCTCAATAGGTCTTTGCATGAGATTTGTATTTCATCTTCATCCAAGGTGAGAATCCAGCCCGGGGTCTTTCTTCCATTATGACTGTCAATTGTGGATCTCTCGTTTCTCCCACAGGCTCTGGCTGACAAAATTGGTGTTGGCTGCTCTCTCGTTCGAGGAGAGTATGGTCGGGCATGGAATGAAGTAAAGCTGCTTAATGAGTCCCGAAAGGGAGTGACGGGGCTCCTCCCCAGCCCAGACCTGTATATTGTGGATCTCATGTTCCATCCAGGGTCATTGATGAAGCAACAGAGCCGAGAGGCTGATATTTACCAATTTATTTAAACTAGCTAAGCCCACACAAGAGTGGCTCCAACAAGAATCGTGCTGTAGACATTTCTTCCTAAGAAGTTCACTGGTTGTGTTTATTCTTGCAATAAAAGTATTGGGAATGTTCAGTGTAGAAACTCAGATTGGACAATGGTGTGTGCTTGATTTCAGGATTAAGGTAAGAGTTCAAGGTCCTATTTCAGAGCATCTTATACTGAGATATCCTTCACACATGCTCTTATGGCCCTAGCCAGCACAGCCCCTGGTCCCTAAGGGGCTCATCTGTCACCTAGGAGTCACCCCTGAAGGTACACAGTACTGATGTCAGGATGGGGTGACCGTGAACTTCTCACTGTTGTTCGTCATTCATCAGGAACACTTGGCTAAATAAACGTGTGTGTGTGTGTGTGTGTGTGTGTGTGTGTGTATATGTGTGTATCGTGCATGTATATGGTGTAATTTATTGCTTGCTGCTGGTGCTTTACCACTCAAGCTATGTCTCTACCTCCAGCTTTTTGCTAGTTAATTGAAGCTAGAGTCTCTGAGACTCTGAAGATGAAAAGCAAGAGTAAATGTAGGAAAAAAAGTTCAAGGTCAGAAATGAATTTAGTATTCGGAAGGCACCCATTAATATAGTGAGGAATGAGAATCAGAGGCATGACTCCAGTGGTAGAGCAGGAAAAACTAAGAGAAAGCACAAGACCTGGAGATCAAGGCCCAGTATTAAAAGAACATTGGAGTCAGCGCTCTCATTCAGAGAAAAATGTTATGTGCTCTATAATATATCCTGGGGTCCACTAGATAAAAGCCCAGAGCAGTTTCTCAGAAGGATCAAAGACCAGAAGGATTCCCTTTGGGGTCTTCATAGTTAGTGAAATGTAATATTGAGAAAGAAATAATAAACCAACCTCTTGGTAAATGTTGACAGGAATTTCCATAGGATAATTGTCTAACATCCAGGAAGAATTAGGTAGAGGTGCCATTCAGAGCCACCTAGATAGGTACCAATTTTTTTAATTCTCTGCATACTGTGGAAACTTTTTTACTTATTTTTTGCATTTTGGAGATAATTCTGTGCATGTTCTCTCTCTCTCTCTCTCTCTCTCTCTCTCTCTCTCTCTCTTTCTTTCTGCTGGGCTCTAGGTAATTACTAAGAGGAATAGTTTAAAATGTATTGTCAGATGGATCTTTGAAAAAGAGTAGAGCCATTAAATGAAAAAGGTAGAGCCATAAAGTTAATAATCAACTAATTATAAAAAGAAAATGTGCTGATCGCCAGTGGCTTACTTCTGTAATCCTAGCTATTCAAGAGGCTGAGATCTGAGGATTAGGGTTCAAAGCCAGCCTGGGCAGGAAAGTCCCCATGAGACTCTTATCTCCAATAAATCACCAGAAAACCAGAAGTGGGGCTGTGTCTCAAGTAGTAGAGCACTAGCCTTGAATTGAAGAACTCAAGGACAGTGCCCAGGACCAGAGTTAAAGCCCCACAACTGACCAAAAAAAAAAAAGGAAAGAAAACACAGCTGGGTGCTATTGGCTCATGCCTGTAATCCTAGCTACCCAGGAGGCTGAGATTTCAGGATTATAGTTCAAAGCCAGCCCAGGCAAGAAAGTCTGTGAGACTCTTATCTCCAGGTAACTATCAAGCTGGAAGTAGACCTGTGGCTCAAGTGGCAGAGTGCTAGCCTTGAGCACAAAAGCTCAGTGACAAAGAAAGAAAGGGGGGGGGGAGGTAAGAAGAGGAAGGAAGAGAAAGGAACATATTAAAGACTGTGAAACAACTTTAAATAAATTTAACAAAAAGTATGCATGAGCAATGAAATTTTAGTGAGGGTCTCAATAACTGAAGGGATTCCGCATGTTCTGATGGTGAATTCAGCAGGACAGAGCTCTCAGTGTGTCCACATTAATATGCACAAGTTGCATAATTTCCACTAGAATCGGGGACCTACAAATAGACAGCAAATACAAATGGAATAATGTAGGTAAATGCCTCTATTATATTTTAGAATATGTATTGAAAAGCAATATAAAACAGTGTGGTACAGGCCTAAAACTAGATAAATTAAGACTAGATATAGTTTTGTCTATTATCCATCTGCCATCTATTTTTTCTATCTGGGACTTAGTATTATAAAACTGGATGTTTTGTCCAAAAGGAAAGTAATAGCTTGCCTACTTAATAAATGGTGTTGGAGAAAACAATAATCTTAGCAATGGAGGCACTTTCCATGAATGACAGAAAAAAATGGAAGCCATAAAAGAACACATATATCTGGAGATGTGGCTGAAGTGATAGCATGCCTAGAAAGCACGTGGTCCTGAGTTCAAACCCAAGTACTGCCAAAAAGAAATTAAGAATGAACATAGATTGCAAGTTTAACTATGTAAACCTTAAGTTCTTTTTTTTTTTTTTGCCGGGGTCATTGGGCCTGAACTCTGGGCCTGAGCGCTGTCCCTCAGCTCTTCAGCTCAGGGCTAGTGCTCTACCACTGGAGCCACAGCGCCATTCTGGCTTTTTCTGTTTATGTGTTGCTGAGGAATCGAACCCAGGGCCTCATGCTTGCAAGGCATGCACTCTACCACTGAGCCACCTTCCCAGCCCAGTAAACTTTAAGTTCTTAAATAACGTTGTTCAAAATAAGTTCAAAGTAACCCTGGAAAAAAAAAGATTGGAAGGAAAAAAGACTAAGAATATAACAGACTAAATGCTAATTTTTTAATATCCTTATATAAAGCACTAAGAAAAAGACAATCTACTTGGAAAATAGACACCAACACTTACAACAGGCCCTTGATATCCATGGGCATATGGTGCCAAGGAGACCGCAGCTGAAGAAAATCTGCGAATATGTAGGATGCATAGAGTTCAGCACTGTGCTGTGGGTTCTTAATTCAGTTTTCCTGTGACATCACCCAACTTCTGCTAAAGACTGGCCACCTTTTAACACATCAAACATATTCCCTTCCTCACTTCTATTGAGAAAACACATTGTGCATCCTTTGGGGCTTGAGAAGATTACAGTAAACTTTTATATTGCTTTTTTGGAAACCATTGCTTTGGGAAGAAACAGACTGAATTTTTTTCCCACAAAATTAAGGGCAGGGACACAGCAGGTCACACAGTGATTTAAACATAGCTGATGATAAATGCAGCGCTGACAGTTTCTCTGTGTTAACTGTGTATGAAATGCAATGCATACATGGGAATTTATGTTTTTTGTTATTGAAGCTTCCTTTGATTAAAAAAAATATTTTTGGCCACATTTGGTCAAAATCACATGTAATAAACCTAAGAATTAAGCAAGCTTACCCTATACATTTCTACAGTGGTAACATATCATAGTAAGTTAAAAGATTATCATACTACATGTCAAACACAAATCAAGAGAAAGAGCTCTGCTCCACATAGTTATTCAAGGCCCCAGGTTTCTAGAAGCCTGCTATGGCTTGGATATGGTATGGCTCCCAAGTTTTGTGTGCAGTCTCTTAGAGAGGATCACAAAGGCACAATGCCTCTGTGTCTCAGATCATATAAAATATTTATCAAAATAAACCCCAGTAAATGGTAATGAGAGGGTTTTTTTGTTTTTTTTTATTGTTTGTTCATTTTCCCATCTTTTTAGGGGGGGAAGGGGTAGCACAAAAATGGATGGACATCAGGTGAACAAATGCAGCAGTGGTAGTACAAACTACATTGAAAATGAACTATACAACTTTTGGATGGGGACAGAAGGGGATAGTTGGGGGTGGGGGGAAATGAAGGAAGGGATGACATTGTCCAAAAATAAACGTACTCTTTATGGTAACTCCTTCTATAGATCACTTTTATGGTATCAACTAAAAAGCAAAGAATATTTGGTGCAAGGAAGCATGGTCCCTAATGGAATAGAATTGAGAAGGGGTGCAATCTTTAAGAGGTGGGGTCAGTGGGAGTGGATTGAGTCATTACCCACCCCCATGAAGACATTAATGTTGGCCTGGTACAATCAGATCTCCCAGGAGTGGTTTGGTTTCACCAAGAACAGATTAATATTAAAGAACATATTAAAGCTCCCCTTGCTTCTTCACTCACCATGTGGATGTTTCTCTCTGTGTCTCTGTGTCTCTGTATGTATGTCTTTCTCTCTCTCTCTCTCTCTCCCTCTCCCTTTCTCTCTCTCTCTCTCTCTCTCTCTCTCACACACACACACACACACACGCCATACCACATACCATGTTATGACAAAAGCCGCCTCCATTTGTAGACTTTTCAGCCATCAGATCATATGCTATGAACAATTTAAATACCACCAAGAACAGACTAAGACAAAATCTCTCCAAGTTATAGCTGTGTATCCTGGATATAAGACTTCCCTGATCATTTCAGTAGGAGAGAAAAGTTCTGAGGATTCTGTTCAGGACATGCACTTCCATCAAAAACATGGTACTTGGTTAAGGCTAGATCTATACACTATGGGAGTCATATCTAGAAACACAGAGATTTGAGTCACAGACCTGACTGGAGCTTAAAATCTCAAACCCTTAGGATATTTTGAAACCATATAGATATGTATATGTGTGTATGTATATATAATATATATAGTTTCATATATATACATGCACATATACATATATATTTATGTATACTATATATAACTATAAACAGCCATAACTACGTAACTATATATAACATAACTACATAACTATATATATACATAACTTGCAGTATTTATACTAAAGTGATATAACTCTATATATCTGGTTGTTGCTCTGCCAGAATAAAAAACTAGAGTTTCACTTGGGATCAAAACATTTCATCAATAACTTTAGAAATAGCTGTTCATTAAGTCAGGAGATGAACACTGAAATAGAGCCCTTTGTCCAAGCTTTCAGCCTCTGAGCAGGTTTTGGCATAGGGAGCCCTGGAGTTTGGTAAGAACACATCCGATTTCAAGTGTTATATTCCCCTGCCAAAGAAATGTTCATAATGCATTGTTATCCATGAAAAATGCTTTTCTAGAAGCTCAAAGCAA